GCTGCAGTTGGCTTTTTTCTCTTCTGCGGGTAGAATAGAAGAAGTTGGGTATGTGATTTTTCTTTAATCAGTTAGCCTCTGATAAATCTCAAATTAGCCTTTGATTAAAGTTTCTTCTAAGGTCAAATTTGCTAAATGGTTAATTTCCTTTTCCCTAGCTGGAAGCTTGAGGGAACTCTATCTATCTTGAGAACTTTGTAAGTAAAATTGAAAAAGAGTTTGGGATCCTGTCTTAGTCACTTTCATTTGCTCGGACAAAAATACCAAACATCCACAACTTAAAGGAGCAATTTATATTGACTTAGACTTTGCAGAGGTTTCATTCAGTACATGGTTGGTTGGCCTCAAAGGAAGAACATGACAGAGAGAGAGACATGTCAGGAAGGAGAGAGGGGAAAGGGAGAATCACAAGAGAGTGGTATGTCCTTCAAAGCCACATCCCAGTGACCCACCCAACATCACACTTAGTTGCTAACTCACCAGTTGACTAATTAAGCGCAGATTATTAGTCCTTCATGATCCAGTCATGTCCCCCAAAATCCCCTGCTATGAGTGCATAAAGCTGGGGAGGGGGAGCTTTACGTATAAAATAAAACAGGTACTCTGGTATTTTTCCTCTCAGATTTGTTCTGTATTTTGTAACATGAACTATAATATGTCCCTGTGTTTCCTGTAGAAGTTTGTTTTTCTCCACAATGCAAGGGATTGAACCCAGGGCATTTCATACACTAGGCAAGCACTCTTACCACTGAGCTATACAATGATGCCTCAGTTATTGAACTCAGTTTGTTCCAAATTCATGTTTGAATCCTGTGAATCCTGAAAAGTTCAAGAACAAAAACATGTTTTTTCCCCCATAAGAAAAGAATGAAAAACCAAATGGTTGGTTCTGAGGCCCAAAAGTTACACTCTAAATTCATTTTTTTAGTTCTTTACCAAATTTCCTAGTGATTTCCTTTTGTTCTCACAGTTATTATCTTTACTATTGATATCCCTAACTTTCTTTGGGGCCATGGTGATGGTATTTTATGCAACCAAAGAACACCACCACCACCACCACCACCACCACCAACAGCAAAAGCACAGCAATCAGTGTTTTTAATGTACTACATAAGTACTATATATTATCTAGGCTAGAGTGACATTTACACTGAAGCATATCCCTCTGTGCTCTTGTTGAGATGCAGCGTGTCACTCAGCTGCTACAGGTTTTTCAAGTTTGGCATTTTTTTCTCTTTTTTATTGAGTTTATGGGTACATTCTAGGTATGCAGTACAGTTACATTCATTACTGGGATCTTGTACCTTTACATGACAACTCTTGGTTCTCATTTTTTCCCTTTGTCCCTGCCCTCCCTTCACCCCCTCCTCCCTTCCCCATTTACAAACACGTTTGGTTTTTAGTTCGACTGTGACCAAAGTTATGAATACTAAGATTTTTCAAACTTTACTGTTCGAGTAGTGGAAAGTTTGAGTTTGAGGACATTAGATAACCAAACTGTCACTGTATCTCTAGCCCCAAGCTTTGAACTTGAGTGTCTGGGTTATTGTCTGCAGATTCTCTGTATTGGGCTGTCATTCTTTCCATTTTGTGTATGATCTCCTCTCTGATCAATTTTCTGTCTCCCTTCCTTATTTAAAACAACTTGTGTTTTAGCATTTTTCTAGGCTTTTTTTTTTGTTGCTGTTGCTGCTATAGCATAGAATGTTTCATTTTCAGCTTTTTACATTCAAGAGGAAAAAACAGAAATCTCTATCCTTTGAGTGGACAGGCCTGTGTTCTTTCTTTATATGGATCATTATGGGTTGTTTTTGTTTTTTTTTGATCATGATGTTTTGATGAACACATTGACATTTTGAGTATTTTAATATGACAATTCTGTAAATTAGATTGCCTTTTCTCAGGATTTTATTTTATGTTTTGTTATCTTATAGCTAGTTATTTATTCAGTGTGTAAATTATGTTGGTAAAGTTTATGTTATTTTTCATAAAAGTTTTCCTTTGTGTTTAGCTAGCTAACAGTGTTATACCAAGCCAGCATGAGAACACCAAATACTGGGACACAGATAAAACTGAAAGAAGTTTATTGCACACATGCAGACTCCACTCTCTAGGAGAAGTGAAGCCCCGTTACAAGATTGTGCATAGGCTTTATAGGGTTTTTCAAACAAAGAGGTTCCAACATAGGTCAGGGCTTTTACACAGCTGCAAGAGGGTAAAACTTCAAACATATTCGTTTATCTTATGGGGGAAGTGGTTTATGATCAGCTTTAAAATACCTGTTCTGTTCCCATGCAGTCTTGTTAATCGAGCTTGCAATTAGCAAAGGAAGGTTTTTTTGCAGTTTGAGCAGCTTTTTCCCCAGTGTTTGATAAGGAGAGGGAACAGTCTTTGGGGTCATTAACAGGCCAACATGGAGTCACTTTGGCTCAGTTAGGTCTCACAAATAATTCAGTTTCTTTGCATACTGAAGCACAAAAATAAGTAAAATACATTGCAAAAGGGAGAAAAATGAAAAGAAACCACCAAACCCTCTGTTCTGGAAATTGGCTTCATCATGGGTTACACTGTCAATTTGTAAGTTGTTTACAAGTCTAAGTCATTACTTTCTCCTTAACCTTTGCCTTAAAATTAGTAGAAGAGAAATTTTATATCCTTTGCCTTCATTGAACAGAAGTCTTTTTTCCAAAATGTCTTTCCTGCATATTCCAGAACTTTAAGAAGTACTGTGGTTTGAACCATAGGATCGTCTCCACTGAGTTATATTGGCAGGTCCTTTATATTTTGAGGCAAGGTCTTACTAAAATGTCCAGGCCATCCTTGGTCTTTTAGTCTTGCCACTTCAGCCCCTCAGATAGGTGATCTTACACCAAAACTTTAGAAAGTTCTAATTTCTCAAAGAAGTTCTTTCTCCAGCTTTTGTTTCATATATTAGTTGCTATGCCTTTGATGACTAACCTTTATTTTCATACAGATTTTACATGTTTCTGTGGGGAAGGGTTCAGAGCTATTTATGTTTGAAAATTTGTATTCCTGTGATACGTAATGTTTTGGTTATTTAAAGTTTTCTATTGTCATATTTTTAGTTAACTGTGTTAAATTTAAAATGAGTTGTTCATAAAAGCTATATAATGAAGCTGCATTTTAAAATTTACTTGGGTAAATTTTAAAAAATTATATTAAAAGCATATTTAATTGTACATTGCATTTCAGGTAATTAACATTTGGACCTATGTTTAGCATTTTATTATTTAAAAATTTTTATTACTTCTGTCTCATTTCTTTGTATTATCTTCCATTACCTCACTTGACTATTTTTTAAAAATTCTGTGTGGACATACTAATTTTATGTTTGAGTAGATTTTTGTAATGTCCCCTCTTCCTATTTTCCACTGGTCTTGAAATTTACATTTATAAATTTCATTGTTAAAATAATGTTTACGGGGCCTGGGATTTAGCTCAATAGTTCTACCACTTTCCTTGTACGCTTAAAGACCCAAGTTTGATTGCTGGTTCGAAAAAAAAAGATTATGTACAAGTAAGTTTTATTTCATAATTTGAGGCTTTTTTTTATATAGATTATATATTTGGCAAGGATTTATCATTCTATATATGAAGGTTGTAAATATAAAGACAGTTCTTTTGTATAGATAGTAGCCTGCCTGAGGATATGTGTGACAAAGATAAAAGATGGTATTATTTTCTGTTTCTGTACTTATTTCCTCAGTTAGGTTGGGTTAGTCTGTTTTTAGTCTGTTTTTGTAGCCCCAGTTTATATACTGTTGACTTAGTAACATCGCTTATTTGATGTTGTTACTATGACGAGTTCTTTTTTTTGGTGCTGGGATCTAACTCAGGACCTTGCACTTGTGATGCAGGAGGCGGTGCCACTGAGCTAAATCCTTGGCCCTTGTCTAGTTCTTCAAATACACTTTCTTCTTCCTTTTTCTCTTCTACTTAAAAATATGTAAGCTGCTCAGGGAACTGACACTATAAATAAAAGTTATTGTAAGCCATTGTTACACTGTGTATTTTAAAGATAATAGTTATTGTATTTGTTTTGTATGCATTTTGGAAAAAGTTCCCTAACTTTATGATAAGAGCAGTAATAAATTTTAGTTTTATTGTACTTTTTAAAGAAAAGTTAAGCACAAATGGATTCACTTAGACATTTTTCTTTAATCTTAATATTTTAAACATTGCTGCATTCTATCATCAATGGGAAATATAATATCTTTGAAACCATTTACACTAGTAAATATTTTTCAAGAATGTTTTCTAGAACAGAAGTTTTTAATATATGTGTGTGTGTATATATATGTGTATATATGTGTGTGTGTGTGTGTGCGTATATATATATATATATATATATATACACATGTTTTTATTATTGTTGTTGTTATTATTATTATTGTAACTTGGTACAAAGGATTGAACTCAGGGTCTTGTGGTTGTGTGGCAAACTAAATCACTGCCCCAGAAAGCATGTATTTTAAAATTTGAGTTTTGACTACTTTTCTGGTTATAATAGATATAATGATACTTGCTTTATTGCTTAACTATTCTCTCTTTGAAAGTGTTTTTTGTTTTTTTTATTTTTTTGGCACTGAGGATCGAACTCCGGTCCTTGTGCTTGCAAGGCAGGCACCACAGCCATTGAGCTAAATCCCCAGCCCCCCTTTGAAAGTGTTTCCAGACTAATACTACACATTCAAATAGTATAATCTAGAAGTGATATATAAAAGAAGTGATGAGCAGACATTGACATTTTATATAAAAACTTGAGCATCTGAAATTTTTTATTCTATTTAGCTGTTTCCAAGACCCCTGTTGGTGTTTAGGGGGTGATTTTATATTACTTTTATTTTTATTCTGTTTCATTACTAAGTTAAATTATAGACATTTATGTATTGTTTAAAATCAAGGATGTTTCTATTTAAATATTTAACATTTTATTTTCTGTTTTCCTTTAAATATCCTCTTTACCCTCTGTTCTGTAGAGGAAGTATCATGCTGCAAAAGAAGCCTATGAACAACTTTTACAGACAGAAAACCTTCCTGCACAAGTAAAAGCAACTGTATTACAACAGTTAGGTACATAGAAACTTAACGTTTTACTTTGTATTACATTAACACCATGAGATGTCTGTTTTAGAAACTAGTTTCTACTCTCTGGTTAAAAGTTCATTTTCAGGTAGAAATTTGTGGTTTGGGTTAAATGTGACATGTATAATTTTGAGATTAAGTTAAAATTATTTATTTTATTAATTATATTTTTTCTTCTTTTTATCCCCATTTGGTTTATTTATACTCTATTTCATCATACACCTAATCACAGTACTTTAGTGATCCTTTTTCTTTTAAATTCTCAATATTAAAAAAGAAATAAATTCTTAATATTATCTTCTAGCACTAGACCATGGAGGTGGAAATTTGAATACCTCCATATTCTTAGTTCTCAATAAATTGACATAAGACCATTCATGCAATTTACCACTTCCATAGTTTTATTGATAATATATTTAATGGAAACATTTCACCTAAAATTTGTAGAATATCTCATTCTGTATTTTTTCCAAGAAGTCTGTTATATTCTGTTAATGAAGTTAAAATAATCAATATTTGAAAATAATACAAAATAAAATGTTTTTAACACTATGAAAGTAATGAGGCTTCTGTCCATTTAATTTAGGTAAGGCTAATCTGTCTTTTCTGTATTTATTATTTGTATATTTATTTGTTTTTCTTTTATTATAGTTGGTATGAAGAAATAATTTGTATGAAATTTGAATGTTTTCCTAATGTACCTATTTTGTATATAATTTTAACAGTACGGAATAGCATTTTTTAGATTGATATTTTTGCCAAGGATTTTTTTAAAAATTCCAGTTATTAAAGAAACACATTTCTCCTTTTGATTATCCCTATATAGTTTTAAATCAGATTCAGTACATGTTTGTAGTATATACTGTGCCATTTTTCTGCCTCTTTGAACCTAGTTCCCAGTGAAATATTTCATACAGCCTTGGAGTGTCTTGATGTTTTTTGTTTTGTTGTCCCATTAAATGTTGTGTGTTACATGTAGGATGTTTGTGTAAGCAAGTACTGTCAGGGAAGATGCCGGATCTTTGTAAGATTTTTTAGTTTAATTGAAATGAATTGCTTTGATTATTTAAGCCTTTTATTTGGATTTAAAGTACTTGAATTATTTCTGTAAGATCATTATGATTTCAAAGGAAAAGCAAATATATCACCTTTATACATGAATATTTTCAAAATTAAATTAGAAACTGAGAATTTGTATTTTTAGGTGGTGAGTCAGTTCAGTGCCCCAAATCAAATAAATATTTCATCTCTTTTTAAAAATCTCTTGTTAGCTTTGTTTTTAAGTATCTTGAGACAGATTTTCTTACAGCTATATGAGACAACTTTCACTGTGGTGAAAGTGTGAGGCCTATAACACAATAAATTACTGAAATGGTGTTTTTATTTATTCCAGAATGATATTCTTGACACCAGCAGGATAACTGGATGATGGATAAATACTTACAACATTTTTAAATTATAGGTTGGATGCATCACAATATGGACCTAGTAGGAGACAAAGCAATCAAGGAAAGCTGTGCTATTCAGTATCTCCAAAAGTCATTGGAGGCAGATCCTAATTCAGGCCAATCTTGGTATTTCCTGGGAAGGTGAGACTGGACACTTGGACTGCCTAGAGTTGATATGCAGTGTAAAATGTCTATTTTTGTATTATAGACTGATCAATCACATTTTTATGTTAGACTATAACGCTGAGGTAAAAATGGATAGCTTTGAATTGGTTGCTCTGAGATACTCTTACTTCATGTATTGTATTTTTACCATATTTTAATCTAACTTGAATTATTGTAAATTATTAAGGAATCCTTTAAAAGTTTTCAAGAGTACCTGATAGCAGTGGTTGATAAGTTTTTAGTTGTATTTAAATTGCTTTTATTTCTGAATTTTTTTGCATATTCACTTAAAGAACAAAAAGCTATTCTTAGAAACTTGATTATTTATAATGTCTGATCATTACTAAAGAAGTATTATATTGGTCATATATCTCAAATTACACTTCTACATGAACTCTTAAATTAAAAGATCATTATTCAGTTGTAAGTTGTGTCACTTCAGTGCCCAAATCAATTAAATATTTCCTCTTTTTCTTTAAAATTTCTTCATAGGTTTGCTTATATCTTTTTAGGGTTCTCGATTTTTTTTATAGCTGCATTTGGTGGATTTCACATCCAGGAAAGTGTGAACATAGGAAATGGGAAAAAAATATAGGAAGTAGTTGTTGTAACCCAGGAATCTTTCCCCGCTCTTTACTTAGTTTAAGTATTGATTTTTTGAAATGTGCTTACTGCAGAGAGCTTTATAGATTTACACGTTTGTATTTGTATATGCTGTTCTTAGTCACCATACTGTATTTCAGTGTGGTGGAAAGATCAAGACTGAAAACTAAGAAACTTGGATTTCCTGGCTTTGCCAATGATAACTTGTGTCATCACTGACAGTTGAATTGCTTGAGGTATCAATTTTTGTTAAACAGTGAATAAGAAGATGGATTATATCTAGTATGTACCTCTTTGCCAGCCAGATAATACTATTAATTTTCCTAATTTGTTTGTTTTTAACTACTGGGAAATGAACCCAAGGCCATGTGAAAGTCATGCTAGGCAAGTACTCTATCACCGAGTTACAGCTTCACTTCCCCTAATTGATTTTAATTATAAATTTTGCCCCATTTACATCTGTCTAGGATAGTCTTATTTTGAATATTTCTCATGCGCTTGCTTTCAAATGTAATTTTTATATTAATTTTAGTCTTTGTACTGTGCATAATTTTTTGCTTTAAATTTAGTAAAACTTATTTCTATGATAGGGAGTCTAATCTTAGGTGGGCTTCTTTAAACTATATTTGATTATCTGTTAATGTACAGTTAAAATGAATTGGGATCTCAACTATATATAGCAGAATTTTTCTCATCCATCTGGGCTTATGAAACAGTCTGGTGAACAAGATTAATGTGGTACTTTAAGAGTTTAACTTTGACAGTTCTCGTGCATTATGACTTTCATGATTCTTTTAATTTCTTGGAATTAAATAAAATTAGATACCAGCAAAGGGATACCTGGGTCGAATGGAACCTCCAATCCCATCTCTTTGAGTTATCTCCATATTGATTTCCATAGTGGTAGCACCAGTCTGCACTCCCACCAAAAATGGAGAAGCGTTCCTTTCTCTCCACAGCCCCACCAGCATTTGTTATTGGTTGATTTCTTGGGGTAATTGACAATGTGAAATGGGAAGAAAAGGGCTAAAGGTGTAGGGTAGGTGGGAAGAGTAGGGGAAAGGAAATAAGGGAAAAGAAAAAAATAGGAGAAAACAAAAAAGTGGAAACACTGTTTTTGTAAATAGGGAAGGGTTGAAGGAGTTAAAAGGAGGGCAGGGTTATGGGGAAAAAATGAGAACCAAGACCTGTCATGTAAAGGTACAAAATCCCAATGATGAAGGTAACTGTACCGCATACCTAAAAAGTACCGATAAACTCAATGAAAGGAAAAAAAAAAAAAAAAAGACTTTCATGAGAAACTAAACATTTCCTTTGTGTTTTCACTGAAAATAAAGTGCTTTGGGTGAATTGTCTGTATCACAAAACAGAACAAATGAAACAGAACTTGGAACTAATATTACTACTATTTGGTTTTTGGTTTTGTATAATGTAGCTGGAATTAGTGTGAAAAAAAAACCTTGTTACCAGAAAAGGGGGTTGTGAAGTCATTGGCCTCTGGTGTAAAGTTTTGTATGTGAGAATTCCTTTATTTTTGTCAAGATTTGTTTTGAACTAAGAATCCAGATTTATACCATGTTGAGGTCTTCTAGAGGTGGAGGCTCAGGGTCAGTGCTTCGTCCATTCATCCTCGCATGCCCCAACAATTCCCCCTATTATTTTTTCCAAAGAGGCGGCATGGCAGTGAGGACACTCCCAGAGGGTCATGCAGCATCTGTTTATCGTTTGAGGAGACAGTATCCTGTGGAAAACAATATACTAACCAGTAAGAGACAATAAAAGCACTGGATAAGGAGTGTGTGAGGCTTTGAAACAGACCATGAGGGTCCAGCTCTTGCAATTGGTCAGCAGTAAAAGTGGCCATATCTTGATAGGGAAACAGGTGCAAAAGATTTATCAAAAGTGGATGAGATATCTGTAACAAGTTGTCTACATTGATGGATAAGTTGTTACAAAAGTCTTGTAGATGATATTTAATCTTTTCCCATGCATAATAAGTGCTATTGTACAGATGGGGGATAATACAGATTTGCATGAGGAATTCCAGTCACATTGTAGTATGATCTGATGTTGAAGAGCAACTATCTAGTCTTCCAGCCTTTTTACAGTTTGTAGTAAGTATTCAAATTTAGATTCCAATTCCTGATCAATAGGAAGTTGTTTCAACCACAGCTGGTGTGAATCCTTCTGCCAAGTGTGTACAAAATCATGTGTTTGTACTGCAGGTAGGGCCACACCAGCAACTGCAGCTGTGGCTGTCACAGAAATGAGCCCTAAGACTACCAGTACTAATTCCACAACAAAACGCTTTGAATAGTGATATAATTTAGACAGAATTTGATAAGCTAAGCCTCCATAGGAGTCAGCTTGCCAGGGCAGAGTAAGACTGACTGGTAACCAGATGCCCATCCAGGCCTTCAAAAGAAAAATGGAATCAAGAGTGACATTTAAAGGAACAGAAGCACTAAGGCAGATATACAGTGTACATGCAGAACAAGTTATAATTTTTTTTTGATAAATTGAAATTAGCAGATTCTACCATGACTACAAATGTCAATTTTACACAACAACTTATACAAAAACTAGCATTCTAAGTAAAATTATACTGGGAATAGGAAGGGGAAGTGCTAGCAAGCTTTCCTTTCCAAGTTTACCAGGGGTGGAGTGCAGCACGAATCTTCCAAAGGTCCCATGGCTAGGGGCTCAGTGGAGTAAGGAATCATGGCGGGGGTGGCTCCAGGCAAGAAGTTTGCCTTTTCTTCCTGTGCACATAGTTCTTTTAGTAACATTCCAAGAGACATTTGCAAGTTAATTACGAAAGGTGGAATAAATAGCTTCTGAACAGTTAGGTGAATGTACCATGTGGTCCCAATCTACCCATACTAGATCTGTGTGGTTCTTACGGATTAAAGTTGGAAAAGTTTTTTAAACGTACAGAGAGGTTACTTTTTCAACCTCTTCCATAGAAGATACCAACATATTTTAGTGAGGATTATCACATTAGAAGTTAATTTTGTATAATCTGTTCTTAAACTATTTTCTTTATTTTTACTTTTTCTTACCCACTGCCTTCAATTTCATTTCTTCTAATGGCTTTATTGCTGGGGAACAAAGCTTCACATTTGTGGAAATTTAAATATTTAAAAAAGAAATTAGAGGTCTGCATGAGTACCTTAGGTGTTAGCCAGAGTACACTGGGATTTGATGGCTGCAGTATTTTGGAGGCATTTATTATCCTTTTTCAGCATGGTGTTCAGTGTTGAGCTAGCTTACTGATTGGGATGCACATATATGATACAGAGCTAGGGTACTTTATTTGTATTAATTATTCTCAAAGAATTGTATCATGCTAGATTTGGGTAGATTATAAGAGCAAGTTAGTTTATTTTCTCATTTTACAGATGTGGGAAATAGGCCCAGAGGAATAAAATGTTTTTCCTAAGCTTTTGTGGTAAGTGTCAGAAAAAGAGTAAGAATCTTAAGTTTACCTTGTGCTTCTTTTTGTGGGGGTACATTATCTATTATATATTTGTGTCCTTATTTACATTTTTAGGTTCTCACATCAGAGAAACTATTTGGACACATATGTGTCCTATTTGTTTCACTTAAGAATATAGCCTTAATATGCATCCATTTAGCTATAAATGTCTTTAATTTCTCATTCTTTTTGGCTAAGTAGTACTCCATTTTATGTACACACACCAAAAAAAGAAAAAAAAAGAAAACCACATCTCCACATCTTTATCCAGTCTTTGGTTGATGGGCAGTTGGGCTGTTTCCAAGTTTTAGCTATTAAAAATTGTGCTACTATAAACATGGGTGCACATGTATTGCTGTGGTATGATGCTATTAATTCTTTTGGGAAGATACCTAGCAGGGGAATAGCTGGGTTATATGGGACTGTAACTTTTTGAGGTACCTGCATACTGATTTCCACAGTGGTAGCAGTCCGCACTCCTTCCAACAGTGAAGAAGGGTTCCTTTTTTACCCAGGGAGGGGATCCACAGGGTAAGGAAATGGGCTAGGGACACTTTTCTGTGCTGACTGGCCTAAGGGATTGAAACTTCGCAGTCCCACCAGCGTTTGTTATTGGTTAATTTCCTGGTAGCAGCCATTCATTCTGGAGTGAGGAATTTCAGCATTGTTTTCATTTGCGTCTCTCAAATAACCAGTGATGTAGAACATTTTTTCATAACATTTATTTGCTATTTCTGCTTCATTGTCTGAAAAAGTCTGTTCATTTCAGATGCCCACTTTTGGACTGTATCCTTCAATTTAGTGTTCTGATTTTTAAAAAATTTCTTTATATATTCTAGACAGACCATTTTCTGAGGAACTGCTGGTAAAAATTTTTTCCTACATTGTGTGTTGT